CATTTAGAATGAACCGAAAATCCAATGCTCAACAGGAAGCACGTGGTACATATTTATTTTGACTCAAGCCAAAGATGTAGACATTGGTTTGGTGTGCAGAAGATTCTTAAATGTTACGGCGTTTTTGGTTTGAAGAATATAGACATTGGTTGGCGCGAAATTAGACGTGTTTGGTTTGAATGAGTTCAAAAAACGTAGATAGATTTATACCTATATATTATGCCTTTTAAATCCGATGGGAAACATAGGGCCGGAAGATATCGTTGCGGTTTTTTTAACAAGTCTATTTTTAAGTGAAAAGCTGGTTGGGGGTGCGAGGGAAGAGAATCCATACCATTCAAAAAGGGTGTTAACAGGTAAGTGAATGTAGCGACTATCCGCTATCCATTACTCAACTGAGCCTCCATTCCTCAATCCGAGCTGCTATCCGTTACCCCACCGTGTCTCCATTCCTCCACCCGAGCCACTATCCATTACTCCACCGTGCCTCCATTTCTCAATCCAAGCCAGTACACATTACTTCCCTATTCTTCCATCCCTCAATCCGAGCCACTATCCATTACTCTACCATGCCTCCATTCCTCAATCCGAGCCGTTATCCATTAATACACCGTGCCTCCTGGACAGATTTAATCTGTATGGAATTTAAAAATAGTCGATATAGATTTGTTTTGCAAAGGTGTCATGAATTTATGCATTGGTTTGCGCGAAAGTTAAAATAAAAAACGTAGACGTGGTTTTTGTTTGAACGAAATTCAAATAGTTTGACATTTGTCTTGCACGAGAAACAAAATGTTAGACATATCTGCCGTAAATCTGTGGGTTCTTTTAATCAAGCGGTTTACCATTCTGTATAAGCGTAAATTCGTAATCTACTGATGAAGGGCACTAATTCTCAGAAATGTATTACCTCTCAGCGAGCTAATCTCCACTTGAAAAAGTTTAGGCGGAACGTAATCTTTAAAAAATATTGAGAAACACCGAGAAAGGTAAATATACTTTATCTAAAAGAGGTTTACACAAGTGCTTGGAATGCATAACAAAATTGAGGTTAGTTATCTCCTGTTAATTTCCCTCTCCAAGTTCTCCACCGCCTTAACCAGATATTGAACTCACACTCTTTGGGTTCTATCTCTGGATCTAACCAACGCCTTTATCCACTCTGCCATGTGTCCTTGAGGATACATGGCACTGTGGATAAAGGCATTAGACATGGCACGTGGAACTAGAACAGTCTATCCCAGTGAGCGAAATAAAGGATTCAGTTCGACATTTCAACCACCTGAAGAAGGCCGGAGCGTACAACGGCTGAAACGTTGTGATAAATATGGCAACAAAGATGAGGACAATAGTCCGAATAATGTAAATAGTGTACATAATACCTCATCTCAGAAATATAGACAGATACTGAAAGGCCGAAACGTTGTAATAAATATGGCGACAAAGATGAGGACAATAGTCCGAATAATGTAAATAATGTACATAATACCTCATCTCAGAAATATAGACAGATACTGAAAGGCCGAAACGTTGTAATAAATATGGCGACAAAGATGAGGACAATAGTCCGAATAATGTAAATAGTGTACATAATACCTCATCTCAGAAATATAGACAGATACTGAAAGGCCGAAACGTTGTAATAAATATGGCGACAAAGATGAGGACAATAGTCCGAATAATGTAAATAGTGTACATAATACATCATCTCAGAAATATAGACAGATACTGAAAGGCCGAAACGTTGTAACAAATATGGCGACAAAGATGAGGACAATAGTTCGAATAATGTAAATAATGTACATAATACCTCATCTCAGAAATATAGACAGATACTGAAAGGCCGAAACGCTGTAATAAATATGGCGACAAAGATGAGGACAATAGTCCGAATAATGTAAATAGTGTACATAATACCTCATCTCAGAAATATAGACAGATAATATCACCAATAATTGTTTTTTCTCTTAACTTTTCTTTTTCCTTTACCAGTATTACTGCTAGCTTTCTTTGGAGCCATGACTAAGGGCTAATAAAGAGAAATTAAAAGACACAGTAAAATAAAATTAGAAAAGAAAAGCACAAAACAACACACGAATGAATACAACATGGCGGTCGACACTCAAATAATGATGTTCGAGTTAACTCGGTTCGGAAATGTTGTTCGAGAACCGAAAATTTTGTTCGATAACCGAGGCATTTTTATCTCGATTTTTCTGTTTGGAAAACCGATCTGTTCGATATGTGAGAAATTCAAGAACAGAGGTTGCTCTGTACATTTCTTTTTTATTAGTTACTGTGACTAGTGCCACTCATTCGTCGAATTTTTTTTTATTAATGGAATTGAAAGGAAGAATTTATTACTTCCAAAATCGTATTGGTATCTTTGAATTAAAATGGAAGCAGATAAGAACAAAGGAAAAAAAAAAAGAAGTACCGGTGATGACGTCATTCCCCACGCAGAAGTCAAAGTCGAGAAAAAGCTCGTCTGCTACGCCATCTAATCTTAATTCAATTGCACACGACTCGTAGATGACACTTTGTCGGAGTTCAGGCATCTTCTTCAGCTTACCTCACGCCCCCATTACAAATTGCCTCTGACGTGTGAGGTTGCGAAAGAGTTAATAAAAAAAAATGATTTCCCTTTTTCGCTATTGACTCCGCCATGAAATTGTAGCAGTTCACAATGTCGGTAAGTATACACTTTCTTGAACATCTCTCTAAGACTAAGATAAAAATACTAAAGAAAGAACAGAGTAAAACATTGAAAATTAATTAAAATATAACCAGAGCTAATAATAATAATAATAATAATAATAAAAATACTTATGTTGTCAAAAATAAAAGACAGAGAAGTTCTTTCGGACTATACTATTCATACCATTCCATCTTGAATGTATCATTCTATAATATACAATCCACAACGTTGAGCTGTGAAATCTCTGGTGTATAATACGTATTGACGTTTTAGCGGAAGTCCTCAGCAGATCAATTTTCATAGCACTGCTTGAGAAACCAAGCGAAAACAAATTTGAACTCTGCCGGGAAAACAGCTTAATGAGCCAGATAACAAAACGCATCATCCGAATTTTGATGATTAAAGCGCGAAGCAGAAACAGGCCGGAGCTAGGACACGAACAGTGCGGGTTCGTCAGAGGCACCTGAATAGGGAACGCGATATTTATGTTTTCAGAAGGTGCAATACCAATGCAGAAGGACGCGTACCCAGGTTTCATAGACTACGCAATGAAGTTCGACAAAATACGCCACAAAGATCTGTTAGAACTGCTTAGCAACCTTGACATAATCGGGAAGGACATTGAAATAATCAAGAATCTATACTGGCAGATTTTTAGATTTGCTGCACGCTTCTCAAAAATATCTCACAATTATTTTTTCAAAGGATTTTCAACAATGGCGTTTCTTTCTTTCTTATTGATGTGGGCCCAAAGTTGGAACCACGGAAGGAAAACACGGAACACGGATTAGAGGTAAGAAAGATATATTAAACAAAAAGGTTACAAAGATAGTGTAAGTGTAAGCGGAGCTTACTATGTGCTAGTGTCCAATATTGGTAGTCGTACGCGGCTGATACTACGGTATTAGAACACACACACACACTCTCTCTCTCTCTCTCTCTCTTTCTATCGCTCTCTCTCTTTCCTCCTCTTCCCCGAGAGCGTTATATCGCATACTTTATATAGTCCTGGAAGAGTTCATGTTGTAGGTATGTTACGGTCTCACATCACTTATCGATTTTCGTAGATAGATAGATATATACATACACCCATACATAATAGCTGGTCACTCGTATTCGAGGATACCCGTCTACTTATCAATCCCTAATACAGACACTCGCTCAGGCACATTATTTGTATTTGCCCAACACCACAGAGGCCACCTGCGGTTTATACTCCAAATATGCTAAGCAGACCTTAGTGTAATTTCTGGGAAAGGGAGTGTTATCTAGCGTGATCAACGATTTGAACAAGACCAGCACGCTCAACATCTCAGCCACGATGACTTGTGGTTTCGTGCTAGCACAGCTATTAGTCTCCTTCCTGACAAATTGACCTTGGTGAGATTCGAACCTCGGTCTCATGATCAGAAAGCTAACGTTCTAATCACGCGGCCACGCGCCCACATACATACATACACTATTTACATTATTCGGACTATTGTCTTTATTTTGTTGCCATATTTATCACAACGTTTTGGCCGTTGTACGCTCCGGTCTTCTTCAGGTGGTTGGAATGTCGAACTGAACCCTTTATTTCGCTCACTAGGGGTAGACTGTTCTAGTTCTACGTGCCATGTCTAATGGATGTCAGTTATCAGTTACTTCATGTTAATTCCCGTCTCTAAATTCTCCCGTCAATATTTCTGAGATGAGGTATTATGTACACTATTTACATTATTCGGACTATTGTCCTTATCTTTATTTGTCGCCATATTTATTACAACATTTCGGCCGTTGTACGCTCCGGGCTTCTTTAGGAGGTTGGAATGTTGAACTGAACCTTTTATTTCCCTCACTGGGGTAGACTGTTCTAGTTCCACGTGCCATGTCTAATGGATGCCAGTTATCAGTTGTCTCCTGCTTAATTCCCCACTCCAAGCTGTCCACCACCCTATGAAGTCTTTTGGGTCCTGTCACTGGATCTAACTAAAGCCTTTATCCACTGTGTCATGTGTCCTCAAGGACATTCACAGGGATGTGATCCATCTATGCATGTTTTAAAGGATATAGCGAACAGAATTTCCGATAGTTCCTGCAGGTGCTGGAATAATTTCGGCTTTCATTCTTGATATTTCCTGAAATTATTTTAGACAACTATCGCTTCTATCATCGATGAATTTAGCACTCAGATAATTTTTACTACCTTTATATATATATATATATATATATATATATATATATATATATATATATATATATATATATATCTAACGGGAAAACAAATCATATACGTCGCAATTGTATCACAATTGTACGTATTATGTATGCACGCATTTATCTATCTATCTATCTATCTATCTATCTATCTATCTATCTATCTATCTATCTATCTATCTATCTATTTCAGTTTTCTCATTATGTGTCCCAGAAATCTCATGTGTTTTTCTGACTTGAAGTATAGGCATTCAATTGCCTGTCATGTTCCTCAAAACTTCCCTGTTACTTAAATGTTCAGTCCATGGTATTCTCCATATCTTTCGTCTTTTTCTTTTTCTATTTCTTCTTTTATGCTCCTTCCATTTATTTCGTCTTTTCTTTTTCTATTCCATTCGTCTTTTTCTTTTTTTATTTATATAATCTCTCTTTTCTTCCTTTTATTAATTCTTTTCATTCTTCATTTTCTTTTTCCATATTTCCTTTTTCCTTTTACTTTCTTTTTTTTTCTTTTTCTTTTTCCATTTCTTCTTTTGTTTCGTCTTTTACATTTTTCATTTCTTTTTTTTTTCCTTTCTTCCATTTCATCCGTTTTTTCTTTTTCTATTTCATTCGTCTTTTTCTTTTTTTTTTACATTCTTTTTCGTTTTCCAGTTTGCATTTTTCATTGTTCCGTTTCTTTTTTTCTATTTTTCCTTTTTCTTTCCATTTCATTCGCCTTTATCGTTTTCCTTTGTTCCTACTTTCTTTCTTTTTTTTCTCCATTTTTTTTCCTTTTTACTCTTTATTTCGCTTTCTTCTTTCATTCTCATTCACTTTTTCTTTTCTTTTTCCCTTCGTTAGTTTAATTCGTTTACATTTCCATGCCTTTTTCTTACTTTTTCTTATCCCTTTCTCTTAGTATCTCTTGCCAATGTTTTTCTTCCGTTCTTTCTCTTTCCTTCATTCTTTTCATTCTTTTCCTTCGTTTTACCTCAGTCTCTCTTTTCCGACCATCTACAACCAGTACCAAAAGCTAATTGAAGCTGAACGTCTGTGGTTATCCGTACCCCCGTAAGTACCTACGTATTACACTAAGAAAAGTAGCGCATTATTCCAGACGTTGATGTTTGTGGCAAAAGCCGGATTTCCTATACTAAATTACTTTCCTTCTGTCATATTTTACCATAGCGAAAGTTGAATAATAAATATCTCTTTCTTTCTTTCAATTTTCGTTCCTTAGTCTTTACATTTTGTTTTTCTTTCTTTCTTAATTTCTTTTATTCTTCTTCACTGTTCATCTGGAGATACATTTTTTTTCTCTCTTTCTCCGCCTCTTCAAACTCTTTCGCTAACCCCTCTTCTCTTTAAACCTACAAGCTTCTTACCAAGAAAAGTCACTAAAAGATGCAGTCTCATCATGGCCGCTGCGCATTCACTGTATTAAACAAATGGCGGTTTTATTACAGCAACCTTACCCCCCCCCTCCGGGGTTTACCGTTTCGAAGACATATCAGAACCGAACGCCAGAAACTATTAGATATCGCATTGTATCTTCGAAGTACGTGTCTAGGCCCGCTAGATGCTACAGTTATCGAAATCATACTTTTATGAGACGTAAGATTCGGTTTGCTTGTGTCGGAATCTTGTGTTTGAAGGCGGGAAATAAGTTATTTCCGATTTCCTCAATAAGATGTATGTCACTGAGGATACATATTAGAAAATCTGGAATTCTCCGTTTTATGCGAACATAAAGAGTGTTGTACGCTTACTATTTACAGAAAGTGGGGGGCAGTTGGTTTCAAGGTATGGCAAAGTCTATAGGGATGTTGAAAAGTTCTCGGCCCCGTCAAATAGAAATTATAATAAATATATAAAACTGATATTTTGTCATTTCCTCAAATGTTGATCGGACAGATAACATTTCAATACACACACACACACACACACACACACACACACACACATATATATGTGTGTGTGTGTTATTATTATTATTATTAATGTAAATATAACAAAAATTATTGGTCAGAGTTGAATGAGACCAGGAAACAGTAGCATTAAAAGTGGTCAATACACGTATGAATAAAATGAAATAAAATAAAATAAAAATTTAACATGCAGACCTTTTAAATTTGGAAAAAATAGATCAGCCAATCATGCTACCGTGAAATACGTAATGCAATGGACTAAGTCCGACAATTATTTTAATATAATTATATATATATATATATATATATATATATATATATATATATATATATATATATATATATATATATATATATATATATATATATATATATATATATATATATATATATATATATATATATATATATATATATATATATATATGGCCTTATGCAGCTAAATGGTATAGCACGTGAAGGTATATGACAGTTCCGTATAGGATATACGTTCGATTCCTGTTTGAGGAAATATATTTCTCGGACATTCATATCGGTAATTGTGGTTAATACTGTTTATTATAAACAGACTATATATATATATAACGTATGTACAGAAAATATATTAAAGTAATTGTCGGACTTAGTCAATTTCTTTATATATAAAGGAATTTTTATCCAACTTTATTTATTATTATTATTTTAAACGTTATTTGTAGTGAATACACATGTTTGACACGCTATCTCCTTAATTTTATTCTCTTAAACAGTGAAATTAATAAAACCCGGCCTCAATTGAGAGACCCTACTATAGAAATAGTGTGGTTCCAACAGGAATCGAACATGCATCCTTTTTTTCCATCGGAGAAACCCCTTTTTGAGTCAAAGTATGTTGCTATCAGTTTGATCACGGTGACTAACCTACCATTTTGAATTACCTATTTAAAAACCAGCACATTTCTTGTTAAGACATCTACGAATCTTCATATTTTTTTATTCTACAAAAAAAAAATTATTATTGAATGTTTATCAGTGAAGATAGGAAGGCGAAAGTTTGTGGTCATCTATCGCCGCTTTTTCTGAATTGTCATTCTTACTAAGTGAACATCAGTCGTCGTCGGCGTAGTGATGACAATTTGTCGATTAACAAAACCACTCCTTCGGTTGGTTGACTTCTTGTCGGTCCAATGTGTCCTGTCCAGCCGATATCTTCAAACTTATTTCCCCACGAGTTATTTTTAAGTACGTGGAAGATTTATGAAAATTTTACAGAATTTTAATATCATTTTAAGTTTGTTTGGTTTCAACATTGTTTTTGCATATTTTTTATCCAAATTTTGCCAGATTTTTTAAAATACAAACGATTGATTCAGGGCACAAATAATTGGTGTCCATTTTTTTTCAGGACGCTGGTCATGTTCTTATATCAGCACATAGAAAGAAAAGAGCTTTTAAAATATTCGATTAAAAAAACGATTTTAAAATATGAAATAGCTTTCCTTTAATTTTGAATATTTTTTTAATTTTAAATATTTTTCAATTTTAAATATTTTTATCAATAAATTCTTATAATCAAAACCAGACCAAGGGTTTCAGTTGAGTGGAGCACAAGAAACGAAAAAAATCGGTTAAGGTAAAAGAACAACTCTGAAAAGGATAAATATATTTCTTAAAATGAAAGCCATCTAAAAAATGTACAAGTTGTCAAATTTAAATCACAATTGAGACAGAGAAATAGACAGAGAGAGAGGGGGGGGAAGAGAAATAGAGAGAGGGAGAGAGAGACGGAGAGAGAAATAGAGAGGGAAATAGAGAGAGAGAAATAGGGAGAGAGAAATAGGAGAGACTGAGAGGGAGAGAGGGAGAGAGAGAAATAGTGAGAGAGAAATAGAGAGAGAGGGAGAAGACAGAAATAGAGAGAGGGAGTGAAATAGAGAGAGAGGGAGAGAAAATAGAGAGAGAGGGAGAGAGAAATAGAGAGAGAACTAGAGAGAGAGAGAACTAGAGAGAGAGAGAGAACTAGAGAGAGAGAACTAGAGAGAGAGAGAAGGGCAGAGAGAAAATAGAGAGAGGGAGAGAAATAGAGAGAGGGAGAGAAATAGAGAGAGGGAGAGAAATAGAGAGAGACAGTGAGAGAGAGGAGGAAAGAGAAAATAGAGAGAGGGAGAGAAATAGAGAGACAGAGACAGAGAGGCAGAGGAAGAGAGAGAAATAGAGGGACAGAGGTAGAGAGACAGAAACAGAAACAGTTTGAGAAAGAGAGAATCAGAGAGAGCAATATTTTTCGATTTTAGCGATTTGCAGTTAAGATTTCTTAAAAATAGCAGCAGTAATTTGCTAAATTTAAAAGCGGCACGGTGGAGTAATGGTTAGGAGCTCGGAGTGTGGAATCGGAGAGCCGAGTTCAAATTCCAGTCGTATCAGTTGCCTTCGCTTACGTGCTAATAACTTCGGGAAAGGTACGAATCCTCTTTTTATCCCCCCAGCTGTGGGTAAATAGCCTTGGATGGAAAGTGGTCTACCGCAGAAAAAAAAAATGGCAACCTACTGCGGGAAAAAATTGCCTCGCACATAACTGAGTGAATCTGAAAGTCATGAGAAATAGAGAGAGGGGAGGTAGAGACAAAGACGGAGAGTTTGAGAACGGGAGGGACAGAGAGAGTTATATTTTTCGATTTTTAGCGACAGAGTCTAAGCATTTTTCGATTTTAGCGAGCAGAGCATTTAAGAATTTTTATTTTTAAATAGCAGCATTATTTTGTTAAAACGCATCAATGACCGAAAAAAAGGCATAGAAAAAACAGATTTCCTTTTATTTTGTCTAGTAAAATACGTTTTTCAGCGAAACAAGAAACAGATATATATATATATATATATATATATATATATATATAGAGAGAGAGAGAGAGAGAGAGAGGGGGGGAGGAGAAGGAAAAATAGTCCACTTTATTTATCGAACAACTTCTTTCTTCTTATGTGCCATGTCCTTTCAGGACGTAAGCGATCATGGCCCTCCACTCCACCTCTATCCCTTGCAGCTCTCAACAAGTTCCTTCCCTCTGCTTCCTCCCCCCAGACCCCGTTCTGTCCTCCAGGTATGTCACGCATTGTTTTCTCTTGTTTCTCTTTCCCTCTATTCGACCCGAGCGTATCAGATTCTCCAGGCCGTCCTTCCACATTATGTGTCCCAGAAACTTCAGCTGCCTCTTCCTGATATTAAGTATAAGCCTCCTCCTTGTTTGCATCCTCTCTAAGACCTCATCGTTGCTCACAAGCTCGGTCCATGATATCCTCAGCATCCTTCTGTAGAACCACATCTCTATCGCATCGAGTCTCTTCTTCATCTTTGAAGAAATCGTCCAACATTCGCTGCCGTAAGGAAGGACAGATGTAATAGCTCAATATTCTTTTCTTTGTTACCAAAGAAATCCTCCTGTCTTGCAATACTCTGCCCAGCTTTTGGAATGCGTCCTTGGCCAACCCAATACGTCTACGGATCTCAGTGTCGCACTTACCATCCTCTGTTAAGACACTTCCCAGATATTTAAAATTCTGCGTCTGCTTTAATCTAGTGTTCCCACCTTCAAATCTCAATTCGGCCTCATCCTCTTACTGATGACCATGCGTTCTGTCTTCTTGTAGTTTATGCTTAGTCCTTTCTAACTCACTCTCCGTCGCTAACTTCTGTAGGAGATTTTATAATTTCCCGACAAGAAACGTCACGTTGGCATAAGAACAGAAATGTCCTCAGTAGAGAAATTGTGTCTGTTTACTTATTCATAGTAGAGTAATTTTTTTTTTCAAACCGTGAAGACGTTCTCGATTTTCGGAATCGACCAGAATATCACGTGTGTTTTTGACTGCATCGCAACAACAAAGGGAAAGAGAAAGAAAGATGCAGAAGAAGGGGCAGGGGAGGGGTTCAGGCCCAAATGCCAGGTTGGAGATTTCGGCAATAAAACGTAAAGTTCAGAGTTGAGATCAAGCAAAGGGTCAATGCCTTAACTTTTAGAAATGACTTACGAGGTCTGTCTTAAGGCAGGCCTTCATCTTTCTGTTAATTTCAGTCAGTTCCCATTTATTTCAGATTGTTCACATCTATCTATCTATCTATCTATCTATCTATTATAGTTTGTTTATCTATCTATTTTAATCTCTTTAGCTATCTATCCATTATAGTCTGTTTATCTCTATGTATGTGTGTATCTATCTATCTATCTATCTATCTATCTATCTATCTATCTATCTATTATAGTATGTTTATTTCTATATGTGTGTATCTATCTATGTATTGCGTCTGTATCTATGAATACCCGCTCGGCCCGGTGGCTAGGATCAAAGTGTAGTATCTGCGATTTGTGAGCTGCCGGGTCGGGTGTCTGTCGAACTCTCTGCTTGCAGAGAGGAACCTGGACGAAGCTCCGCCGAAGGGTGGGGTTTCGTTCGGGGAGGTTGACGGAACTAGCCCGCTTGGACGGGTTTAGATGGGTTTTATTTTTGGCTGGGCCTACGGGCTCAGACATACCCACATTAAAAAGGCCTTGTGCCACATTCAATTCCTGTGGGTGAATTGATAAATACCATCTATGTATTGCGGTCTGTTTATCCATCTATCTATCTATCTATCTATCTATTATTGTTTACTTAACTATCTATATATTATAGTATGTTTATCTCCCTATGTTTGTATGTATGTATGTATGTATGTTTGTATCTATCTATCTATCTATCTATCTATCTATCTATCTATCTATCTATCTCACTGTCTATTGTAATCTATCTATTATAGTTTGCTTATCTATCTATCTATTGTAATCTCTGTCGATCTAGCAACCTATTACAATCTATCTATCTATCTATCTATCTATCTATCTATCTATCTATCTATCTATCTATCTCCTGTTTATCTCTCTATGTATGTACGTATGTATGTATGTATGTATGTACGGCTAAAAATCACATGGAAGACATAAATATAATACATATGAATTGGAATGAAAATAATAAATATAATGAAATTGTTTTGAAATACTCGTATATTTCTTGTCAAAGATGTCATCGGTAGATGAGATGCCGAAGTGTATGATCTTGCATCTCTTGCATTATTCGGAAGCAGCAGTAAATCTGGGGAAAAAAGAAAAACAAACTCACATTTATTTTCCTTACATATCCGGAATTCGCCAACTCCTAGTTTAACAAGAAAATGTCCTTATCTATTATAGGAAAACGTACCGTATTTTCCGGCTTACAAGACGCACTTTTTTTTCCTAAAAAATACACTGAAAAATACGTGTGCGTCTTCCAAGACGAATGTAAGGCAACGCCCAGGCTCAGGTAAGCTTGGACGGCCAACTAATTGGCTTGACTGATAGCGACGTGAATTTGTATGTTGAGTCATTACACTATAATGTTAGCTCTCTATCTAATTCAGTCCTTTATATGATGTCACCTCAGGACTTAGCAGTTACAAGTATTTCCATGACTATAAACCTTCCCCCAGGCCATGTTTTTTTGTCATCCACTTGCTTAAGCCCGCTAGGTATGTCATGCGATGTTTTCCCTTATCTCTCTTTCCCTCTATTCAACCTGCGAGTATCAGATTCTACAAGCCCTCCTTTCTCATTACATGTCCAAGAAATTTCAGCTGCCTCTTCCTGATGTTAAGTATAAGCTTCCTCCTTGTTTGCATCCTATCCAAAACCTCATCATTGCTCACACGTTCGGTCCATGATATCCTTAGCATCTTTCTATAGAACCATACCTCCGTTGCCTTGAGTCTCTTCATCATCTTTGGGGAGACCGTCCAACATTCGCTGCCATAAAGGAAGACAGATGTCACGTAGCAACTCAGTACTCTTCTCTTTGTTACCAAAAAAAAAAAAAAAATCCTCCTGTCTCGTCTCCATACAAATATTTAGTAAAATTATTTTGTTACAAATACGTAATAATTTAAATTTTAACAAAAACGTTTAATACCTTTTTTTTTCATAAAACCGTTTAATACAATTTTTTCATATAAATATATAATGAATTTCATTTTAATCAAAACATTTGTTTTTATTAAAATATTTTAACGCAATTATTTTAATACAAATATGTAGTAAATTTCATTTTAATAAAACTGTTATTAAATTTATTTTTAATATAATATTTAATACAATTGAAATATGAACAAAATACAGTTATTTAATGCAATGGATTTTAATGCAATATTTTATAATATTTTTAGATATTTAATTCAAGTTGTTTGAATATATTTTAGTATGACAATAATTCAATATAATTTTGAGAAAAGAGATAACGAAGCTACAATTCCATATTTGACGCAATAATACAATATTTGAGCGTTACAATTTATCTTTAAATAAGATCTATAAGGATAAATTACTCAATACCTATATAAAAGAAGAAAAAAAAACATTGTAAAGAGAAACGAGATGTTGCCAATTGGGGTCTGGTTTTTATATCAGGTGTATTCATTTCGTTTACAGTGTTTTCTGAAGTTCGTTGTCCATAAATTGCTAAGAGTATTTCCTAATAACTTTGCAGATCACACTGAATCGGCCTTGGTAATAAGACCTTCTCGTAAAAGGCACACAATCACATATAACAGTCGAAAGAAATGGAAAGCGGTGAGATAATTGGGTAATCTGGACGAGGTAACATTATTAACCTTTAGGGACATTTGAAGAGTATTTCAAGGGGAGATAATCCAATTAGTGCATGCCACTTTTTCGATTATTTATCGAATCCGGCAGTGAAATTCACTTAGCATTTTTGCTACGATATTTTGAGGAAGTTTTTTGACATCTGGGGAAAGAGAGAGAGAGAGAGAGAGAGATAACGAAGGAGAGAGAAAATGGGCATCGCGGTAGAGGGAGTGAGAGGAAGATAAAAAATGAGAGATAGAGAATGTGTGTGTGTGTGTGTGTGTGTGTGTGTGTGAGAGAGAGAGAGGGATAGGGAGAATAGGGATGTCGAGAGGGAGTCTGAGAGAGAGATATCGAGAGAGAGAGGATGGGAAAGTGAGGGAGATTTAAAGGGTGAGAAAAAAGAGGGCGAAAGATAGGGAGATGGAGAGACAGAGAAAATAGAGAGAGAAAGAAAGAGTGAGTGAGATAGAGTAGGAGAGAGAGGATATCGAGAGAGAGAGAGAGAGAGAGAGAGGGGGGAATTGAGAGGGAGAGAGAAAGAGGGCTAACGAAAGAGGGAGAAAAAGGGCATAAGTAAGTGATTGAGAGAGAGAGAGAGAAGAGGGATGTCGAGAGGGAGTCTAAGAGAGAGAGAGAGAAAGAAAGAGAGAGAAGGTAGAGAAAAAGGAAGATCGATCGAGTAATAAAGAAATAGCAATGATGGCGAAGAGAGATACAAAGAAAAGAAAGAGAGAAGGAGATGGGGAAAGAAGCGATAAAAAAAAATCCCAGAATGCACGGAAAAATAAAGAATGGTAAGAAAAAAATAAGAGAAAAGGAAGACTAATTGGTTGATGTATACGTGAGGGGGGGGGGCGTAGAAAAACAAAGCGCGCGCGCACACGCACGTGCGCATACACGCGCGCAGGTGTGAGTATAGATGCACACAAGAACGAGAGTGAAAACAGTTTTGGTTGGAAGGTCTGTAAGAAACAGAACAAGAACAGACTATAGAGAGAAATACTATGTAAATCTGAAAAGAGAGAAAAGCAGAGAGAGAGAAAGAGAGAATTTTTTTATATATATATATATATATATATAAAAGTGAACATAAAGTCAACACTTAGGGCGACAGTCTGTTTCATGCTATGTGGCCTGACGATTGCATATAGCATGAAACAGACTGTCGCCTCTAAGTGTTGACTTATGTTCACTTTTATATTTACACACGCTCTATCTCTGATATTGAGCACTTTATCCCATAAATATAGCACACCTTAAGACTATATTTCTTTATATATATATATATATATATATATATATATATATATATATAGGGTCCTAGACTTACATCAGAGATCTGTTTCTACGGCGCTGCTTAACCTGATTTTCGACGTAGGTCGGAACTCGCTTACATAAGGATCCACGGGGCTGCCTTTTACTTCCTCATAGAACGTCGCATGACGACGTATTATGGGAAATGTCGCCGTGAACACGAAACACCGTACGTAGGTCCGACGTTACCCAAGGAACATCTGCATATATATATATATATATATATATATATAATAACAAATATATGAATATAGATCCGACAGTATGAAGAAAAAAATATACTGAAAAAACAAACAAAAATCCTAATATGCGATTATGCTGTTTTAATGTTTAATGTCAACGTCGGACGTTTCGGTCTAATAGACCATCTTCAGGACATATTCATAAAACATAATTAACATAGACAATATACAATTCAACATGAAAAAGACGATGGACATAAAAGCAATACCAATCCAAACAAATAACTGAAATCTTTTATAAGATCAGCGTTCCGTTTAAATATGATCACGTCGTCGTCACGTGAGCGATGTTGTGAAAACGTATTCCTAAAATTTGAGTATTTTGAATGAAAAACGAAAAGAATTTTATTTTGATCTAAAAAGCTAAATATATATATATATATATATATATATATATATATATATATATATATGTTTGTGTGTGTGTGTCTGTGTGTCTGTGTGTATTTTGTGATGTCAACGGACACTCGTTGGCACTATTTTGATGTCAACGAATGCTCATTGTCACTTTCGTAATGCTCGTTATAGTAGAGATTTTGTAATCGCAGATACAACTATAGTAACACCGTTGAACAATACTAGTGCCAGACACCTTCGAATAACACTCACACTAATAGTACTTGCTCGATAATACTAGCTCGAAAAGTAAGCACCGAATATTGATCCGAATAGAGAAATAGTATAGTGCATTGAGTAGAGAAATAGTACAGACTAGAAATGGTAATCCCTATAGTAATTAATAGAGGATAGAATAGAAATAGCGATCTAAATAGTAATAAAGGGTAGAACAGAAAGAACGATCGTCAGCTACTTCATACGTTTCGTCTATGGTCACGTGGTCTACTTGATTCAATAATGGGATCGCCTGTGTTTGCTCACTGGCGATCTATGTTCAAACTCAAGTGTCGGCAGTGACACTTTATTCCTATATAACAGTAAGAATCAGTGGTTTTACATAAATCATATTTTGTATGAAATAACCTCCTTACTTAGGCTTTTCCTCTATGGTCAGGTGGTCTACTTGATTCAATAATGGGATCGTCTGTGTTTGCTCACTGGTGATCTATGTTCAAACTCAAGTGACGGCAGTGACACTTTATTCCTATATAACAATAGGTTTTGTCAGGATAAATTTTATTTCTAATCTGATATTATTTCTTTTCAACGGGCTTAACGGTAGTATCTTCTTGAATAGGAAAACAGATACGAACCTTGCCGGAGGGCAGATTATCCATTATCAAGACGATCGAATACCATAGGCACATACACTGTTTAGAAAAAGAAATCAGAAGAAAAAGGGTATCCATTAAATATTAATTTTAAATAATATAATAATGTTCGTGCATGTGTGTAGAAATTAAACTTGAAACCGTAATAACTTGACTGAGTGGTTAATATCTGAAGACACTTTAAAATGTGTAAAATGCTTCAGTTTGAGTTTAATGCTTCTGCAATCATTAAGTAGTAGAATCTATATATATATATATATATATATATATATATATATATATATATATATAGTAATGATACAATATGGTAATCCGTATAGAATTTACAGAAGGATATAGATGCAGGGAGAGCTCTATGTATAAAAATAAAAAGCAAAATTATTGTTAATTAAAGAATATCAAACACTTAAAATCCCATAGGTAATAATTTTTATTTCATGAGAGCTCTAAAAAAAGCAGCTCTCAACCTTCAAGTCT